ATATCAAAACAAAACATTTATTAAATGAAATAGTCACCATTCTTATCGATGATGCTTTTCCAGTTTGCAATCAGGTTTTTAAAGCTCTGATTAAAGAAATCAATTGGCTTTGAAGAAAAAAATATGTCGATGTCCTCTTTAACACCTTTCACATTTGCATACGTTTTCCCATTAAGATGGTGTTGCAGCGAACGAAAAAGATGGTAATCTGATGGTGCAATATCTGGTGAATATGGTTGGTGGGGGAGAACTTCTCAACCCAACTCCATAATATTATGTTGCGTCAAACGTGCTACAAGTTGATGTGCATTGTCACGGAGAAGAATAACACCTTTCCGATTGACGAGTGAAGGGAGTTTCTGATGAAGGGCTTGATTTATCCGTTACAGTTGCTGACGATAGATCTTTGCATTGACAGTTCGCTGTGGATTGATGAGTTCGAAATGAATAACTCCTTTGATGTCCCACCAAATGCAAAGCATCACTTTCTTCGGATAGAGTCCAGGTTTTGGGGTCGGAAGTGGTTTTTTGTCTGGGACTGAGCCATTATTTTTGGTGTTTAATATTCGCATAGAAAATCCATTTTTCATCACCGGTAACAATTCTGTCCACAAATGGTTCACACGCATTGCGCGCCAGAAGAGACATTCACACGTTGGAAACGATGATTATCGGTTAGTTCGTGAGGCACCCAAACACCTTTTTTAGAGAATTATCCCATATTCCTTAGTTGTTTACGTATTGTTTCATGAGACACATGCAATTTCAGGGCCATTTCACGAGTGAGTTGCCTTGGGTTAGACTCAACAAGCGTCTTCAGAATATCACTATCAATGCCAACATGTCGTCCCCTGCCATCACACTTTTTAAGGCTAAAGTCACCTGAACGAAATTTGCTGAACCATTGTTGACACTTACGAACGTTCAAAACATTTCCATAAACTTTATTGGTATTCTTTGTGGCTACAGGGGCGTTGTTTCCCATCTTGAATTAAAACAGCATTATATGCCGAATGTGTGTCTCGTCGTGTGTCATCACTATAAGGGAATAGAGTATACTAAACTTTACACACTATATAGGCGGTTCGTTTAACTATTATGGGTGATGTACGTTTTTTGGGGTGGTGGTGAATGAAAGTGTTCCAAAACGCGGCATTAATTTCTCGACGACCTAATACTTCGCGATGGACCAATACGTTATGGCTTTGATGACTTATATAGGCGCTTCCCCATATTAAATCAACCTATCACTACCCTGTCTTTACACATCCGCATACACAACACCGGTACTTCCCATGTTGAAACAGCCTGTCACTCTCCTATCATTAAACATCTGTATACACTGATACCAGCACATTTCAAATCTTAAAGCCAGCCCATATCATTCGTTTTTCTTTTATTATTTATTTAGTAGTTTTAGTTTAACTTGGAGGATGGTAAAGCCGAGATGGGCCAATAGATCTCTTATCCCGAAACATTATGTTATGTTAAAACAACCTGTCACTATCCTTTCTTTACACATCAACATACACAGAAAACGTCATTTTTCATGTCAAAACAACCTGTCACTATCCTGTCTTTACGCATCAGCATACACAGACAACGTTACTCTTCATGTTGAAACAGCCTGTCTTTTTGTTTCGTTTTCGTAAACTGTTTCCACTCTTGATGATGCCACACATTATAGGCTAACATTTATCGACCACAACGATTCTATCATTTTGTAATAATTATTTGAAATTGGAGGTTGGAATTATAGAAATATAGAAATTTGTACTGATTTGATTGCCTATATACAACTGGTGCAATTCATAATATTATAACTATTTAGTTATATGTGTCTTTATATATAAAGAGCGCTCTGAAGCTAATTGTTGATAACATATTTAATCACAAAAGAGAATAATAATATTCCAACTTGGCTCAAAATTACACTTCGAGAAAACCCGCCATACGTTAGTAGAATAATGAATAAAAATAAATATTCCTAGCACTCTTCGAATTCCACGTCTCCTACCGATTGCTTCAGAGCAACATTTCGCCTTAAACTAACTGCCAGTCATATTAATAAAAAATTTGTTAAAATCCCAAAGAAAATATAGTGTGATCGACATAAGTATAATTTAATAATAAAAAAGCTACATCTGACGGTGCTACAAGTTGACATTGTACTTCTCCATCGCCACTTCGCCCCGGTGACTCAAAGGTAAGTCTGAGGGTTTTTAACGCTAAAAACCTGGTTTCGATACTCCCGGTGGGCGGAGTACAAATAGCCCAATGTTTAGCTTTGTGCTTAACAACAAAACAAACAAACTTATCCATCATTAGCTGACCTGCACCGCTGTTCGAGTCATTGTTCTACTAATGCAATTTTTTTCAGAACGAAAGTTTGTACAATATGTTGGAGTTCTTGCTTACATTGTTCTGCCTGTATTGTGTGTTGGAGACCTTATCCTAGTAAGAGATAACTTGTAGATTCTCTACATTTGTTAGAATATGTTTCTTTGTGTGTTCGCTTTTGTTGTCGATGTGAGAATATCTCCAATAGAGAGAGTAGCTCGTATATTCGTCTGTGGACTGTTGTGGTGTGTATAGGATCCTCAGCGTAGTTGTCGCTGTTATATCAGTATATGAGCTTTCACAGATAGTTTGTATACTGTGAGGCTGATGTGTTGTATATAAGGTCTTTCACTTGTTAGCATACATTGTAAGTGCGTGGTTGTAAAGATTTTCTTGTTACATGAAGATAAGAATTTCTACATGAACGAGGTACCTCGTGTAATTCTATGGTTGTTTATATTTCAGGTGCTTCATTCTGCCAACAATAACAATAGAAATATTCAAAACTCAGTACTCTCTCCTGGGAACTGAATACTAACTTCATCTCAAGAGTAGCATCTGCGATTTCTCGTGTTTAGACGTGTTTCATACCTAATAATACTTACAAAAAGTTTAACCTTTTTTGGAGAATGTCACGTTGTACACGTAGCAGAAACAAAATAACTTTTTCTGTAAATTGTGTAACTATTAATACTTATTCATTGTTGTTTGTTTGAATTTATGTACCGTTAAAATGTATTTTTAAAGACGGTGGCTTTATATTTTGTAACAGTTGAAATACAGTATTTGTTGAAGGTAACTTTAAACATTAACATTAATTCTTTGTCATAGAAGATGTATAATCATTAACATTTACGTTTTATCGACAACAACTTGAAACTGTGTAACCGTAATCATTATTGTTCTTCGACGATCACTTAAATCTATGTAACCGTTAGCATTTATTTTTTGTCGAAGAGAAGTTGAAAGTTGGTAGTCATTAACATTTATGTAACCGATAACATTCATCATTTATCTTCGAAACTCTAATCACTAACATTTAGTGTTTGGTAATACTTATGAGCCTGTCGACGGTAACTTGAAACTTTTTAACCGGTAATGGTTATTGCCCGGCGTTGAAATTGTGGGACTGTTAACATTTATTTTTTGTCGACGTTGACTTGAAAATATGCAACCGTTAACATTTATCTTTTGTTCATGCCAGAGCGAAACTGTAATCACTTGTTTGTCAGCACTACCTTTAACTGTTAGCATTTATTGTCTATCAAAAATAACATGTTTGTTTTGGATTTACACGAATGATATCTCCGCTAGCCGTCTATAATTTAATTTGGCAGTGGGAAGGCAGGAACTCAACACCACCAACTCTTGGACTACTCTTTTACCAACAAATAGTGGGATTGACCGTTACATGATAACGCCCCCACGACTGAAAGGGCGAGGATATTCTGTGATAGGAAATCGAGCTCGCAACCCACAGATTATGCCATGCTTCTACAATAACGTATAGCTGTGTAGTTATTTTGTTGTTGTTGACATTAACTTGAAAATGTGTAATTACGAACATTTATTTTTTGTCGAAACTTTGTAACCGTAAAAATGCACTGTTTATCCACCGTGAATTTAAACTTTTTAATCGTTAATGTTTATTTTTTGCCGTCTGAAATGTTGTTCTGTCGAATTTTTAAATGCTATCTCTAAAGTAGACGTTCATTATTTTTATGTAGGTATGACTTGGTTATGACAAACTTATAATATGACACCCAAACAGAGGAGCTCCTGCGATGTCAAATATTTGAGCACTGTTTGTCAACAACAATAAGTCTTCAAAATACCACAATCTATTGAGAAATCTATACATAGAGAACGGAAGTGGGGAGAGGGGGGGGGTCCTGTGAACTTAGCATAGTTTTTTTCCTCTTTAATAAAGGGAGACTACAAATAAAATGAAAGAAAAAACATTAAATGTAAGCAGGGATGGTAAAAAAAGAAATATCCCTAGCACTGTTTGTATTCCATGTCTCCTATCAACCGCTTCAGTGTAACAATTCCTCTGAAACTAACTAACGTGGTAAAATCCTAAAGCAAATATAATGTGATCGATATAAGTATAATTCAATCCATTATATAAGTTACATTTGGTGGTGCTAAAATTTAACATTCTACTTCACCACAAACCCCCGACTGAAGGGGCGAGCATGATCAGTGACGGGATTCGAACCTGCGACCCGCAGATTTCGAGTCAAGTACTCTAACCACTAGGTCATGCCAGGCATCCGAAATAAGTGAAAAATTACCAAACCTGAGTAGAACCGGAATAATCGTATTATTGAAGTTGAACGTTTTATGACACGTACAATAAATACTTCTGAGATTAGTTAATGTTAATAATCCATGTAAGTTTCTATAAGTTTGAGAGCTTATAACGCTAAATTTCGGGCTCGATTCCTATAGTACTCTCCCGAGTAGTTTTCTACCTTGTGTGACAGTGAATTTTCTGTTGGAACTCTTCTTTCTCCGTTGTCTTCTATTTTCAGAGAACCTTTGAATATCATGTTTACTTCGCTTCGCCACATCATGGGGGGCACTTAAAATGTTGTTCAAAGAGATCTTATTACATGTTTTTCGTGATAGAATACATTTATTGTTAATGGAAATTAGATTTTTTGTTTAACTGACAAATTAATAAACAGACATACCTAAAGTTCGCAATAAGTATTTTTTTTCTTTTTCTTCTAGTTGGCCCGCTGTTGAGTACAGTAAACAGTTTATTACTTCTGTTGTGATGGGAAAAGACGTTGTGCCTCGTTTAGGACTTCATCAGTTAGAGTCTCTTCGCTCTGATCTCATTAACGCTATTAAACGAACTGAGGATCCCAAGGTTAGGTTTAGTCACTTATCAAGAAAAGACTAAGTATTCCTTTACTCACAATTTTGCATAAAACTTAAATTTAAAGAAATTTTCCGAATTTCTTGAATTAAAATATACAGTATTGCTGATATTTCGACTACTTTATTGCTTATAATATATATTTTACATTTGTAAAAGTCCATAGTTTCCACAGTTTAATCAAAAATTGTTTATTATAGTTAAATATTTCAGCTGCTATGGAACTGTTTTCTTGCTTTTCTTATGTGAAAATATCACTAACAAATATTTGTAATGTACCTTTCGTTTATATAAAAATAATTAAAGTATGACAGACGTACATGTACATGACGATAAACAAATAAAAAAACACAAGAATTACAATGTTGTTAAATTTTTGCCTTTTTCATAGTAGCTTCTATTATGTAACTTCTCTCAGAAGTAATATTGATGTTATTAAGATGCAAACTTTTTTAATATCCTTATGTCTTTTAATATCTTATATGTAGACTACATTACTTAATTATGTGATCTGTTCAGCGCCATTAATCCTCAGACTTGACAGTCATATTATCCATAAAATATAGTATGATATACAATCTTTTGTTTGCTTAACTAATTAACTAATCTTATTCTGAATGGTTACCTTTGACATTGTGCCAAGTCCACTATCTTATTGACAGACCATATCATAAGTTACACTGAGATACGATTGGTTTGTTGATTATTAAGCATCTTAGTGAAAAATCATGCCATTAAAGGCTACCTTTGTGATTTTATAACACTTTACTATTGGTGTTATTAGAAAAATTACCTTGTCTTTTATAACCACATTTTTCTAAACCAGTTGAATCTTTATTCTTTAATCGGTGATTTAGGCTTGTGTTCATGATGAGACAAAGATGAAAATGGGTGCCAACTGGCTAACACAGATAGCAGAATTTTACTGAATGAAAGTAAAGATCGTAATGAAACAAAATGGCGGAAATAAAAATCACCCGTTTAAAAACACCTTTAAAATGCCCGAATATTAACAATGACTATTTCACAGTATTGGCTGAACAAAGATAAAGATTGTTGTACTTATAAAGCCACCTAAATCGCTATATACGTATTTATGGAGTGAATCAAAATTCCACTATTTCTAAGTAAGTTTTGTTTGGAATTTCGTGGAAAGCTACACGAGGGCTATCTGCGCTAGCCGTCTCTAATTTAGCAATGAAAGACTAGGGGAAGGCAGCTAGACATCAACACCTACCTCCAACTCTTGGACTAATCTTTTACCAATTAATAGTGGGATTGACTGACACCTTATAACACCTCCGTGGCCGAAAGAGCAAGTAAGTTTAGTGTGATGCGGATTCAAACCTTCGACCCGCAGATTGTAAGTCGAGTGTCCTAACAATCAGGCTCATCTAAGTAAGCAAGCGTACACAAAAGATGACGAACCTTATCTCACTAATTCTTTTACAAAACTCTTCCTTCTGGGATTCCAATGATTCCTTTCTTGTACCTAAAACGATATTAGTATCTATATATAAAGCCAACGATGCACTACTTTGGGCATATAATTAGAATTGAGGTAGGATAGCAGAAATCTTGATGGGTAATAAAATCGAATCGGGAATATGCGCTCCCCAGGCTTGATATTGCTGGCGCACAAAAATATAGCTAATAAAATGAAAACAAACAAGTATAAAAAACATTCATTAATTTTCTAACGATAAGTAGGATCGATATATACGTAACTTAGCTAGCAGTAATAATACAAAAAGTTTAAATGCCACAAAAAGTAGTGAAACAAGAAAGACAAAACTACAAAAACTGAGTTACTTAGAATTTACAAATGTTTATCCCTACTTTGGCTCAAACTAATATAATTCCAGTGATTTGCCAACGTAGGGATATTTTTATTTTATTTTAAGTAACCCAGTTTTTGTAGTTTTGACTTTTTTGTTTCAATACTTTTTGTAGCATTAAAATCTTCTACATTACTATAGCTAGCTAGGTTATGCATATGTCAATCCCTACTTGTTTTTATGAAATTAAAAAAATGCATTATACTTGTTTTCTATATATTTCAATAGACAGTTTTTAAAAAAAACATTAAAATTCACAACAATTTGCTTTCTCTCACAGTGGAAAATAATAATGGGCGGAGTTATGTGCTGTTGCCCAGAAGACAATGGAGTAGATGCCATTGCTGTGGAGGATTTTGGTTTAAAGTCAGGGGCCCGTGACGTCACAACTCATCCTAGTGATTCTTCTATTGCTCTCACTGCACACCAACCAATGTATCCACCAGGACGTATCATCCATATCATTCGAAACCATCCCAGACGAAACGAGTAAGTTATATATTTTTTGTTATTCAAGAAAGGGCATTAATCATTGTTGTATGAAACAGGAACTGAATTATGTATTTTCATCCAATATACTAGATTTCCATATTCAAGCATGTGTACCTCAGTCTCTTTATGTTTTTAGTGGCTGACAAACTCGTAGACAATATAAGTGACATCATTCAGAATAATCACAGAGAATATTAAATGACACTATTAGTTCTTTACTACGCATTTAACTTGCTAAAGTGTGAAATACAGTTACAGCTTTATATGGTACAATTCTGTTGTTTTAATTATTAGAAAGGATGGCAAACCTTGAGTCCGTGTAATCAATATCTCATTTACAAGCATGACTAGCAGATTCAAATCCATATAGCTAGCTTTTCTAGCATGACATCTGAAATAGAATGGAAAGTTGATATACTGTTGTTTTTCATTCCCATTATTTCAGCAAACAGTTCTGATGCAGTGTTGTATCCATAATTCAAATCCATGCCCATTCATGTTTCGTATTTTGGACACAAGTGTTTAACTTTTGGTGTAGTACAGCAAAACGCTCAGTCACTCTATAAAGGAATTGCACGGCCTGGTAATTAGGGTGCTCGACTCACAACCTGCATATCGCAGGTTCGAATCCCCATCACCAAACATGCTCACCCTTTCAGCCGTGGTGGCGTTATAATGTGATGGTCAATCCCACTATTCATTGATAAAATAGTAGCCCAAGCGTTGACAGTGGTGGTGTTGACTAAATGCCTTCCCTCTAGTCTATCACTGCTAAATTAGCGCAAATAGCCCTCGAGTAGCTTTGCGCGAAGCTCAAACCACTCTATAAAACATTTCATCGTTACCACAGTGCATTGTTTGCATTATTCAGTTATTATAACAGACCAAAAGCATAAATGTTTCTATTAACAGTGATGCTCCAGTAATGAGTAATTACAACTGGCAACAAAGATTTCAGATATGGCCCCATTTTTTCATGGATAAGTGACATCAAACCTAATAGAACCTATGATGTATCCTCTCCAAATACTTCTAAGTGCCAAAATATCTAATTACTGAATAACTGTGAAGATAATGAAGTGTGTCTGGTTGATGTTATCTGGGTAGAACTAACTACAACAGTTCTTTGTAATCTCTTAATCATTTCTATGTCCTGTTCAGGAGAATTTTGTAAATATTAAGTAATGTCAATAGAATCTAATACATGAGTTGTAATAATTTACTAACTGCTCAGATTTTGTGGCTGTTTCACGATTAATACATTTGTGAAGGTCGAGTTCTCGAATGATTCAGAAGCCATCAAAACATTGTCAATCTACCCAGTGTTTCACGTACACCAAATGAAACCAGCGTGCTAACCACCTGAATTCACTTTATTTCTTTCTGGCTAGTGGAAATAGACTAAAAATGAGTGAAGAGGCAAACTCCACTTAATCTTTGGCTCTGTCCACCACAGTACGCATGTCTTTATATTTGTCTTAAAACTAAGTATGGGAACTTAGGGGATTACCTGCTGTAAAGTATTAGCCATCATGGACAATAGAATAGGTCACTACATTTTATGATAAAACCATTCATTACAGACCTGTTAGAATCCAGAAACAATAGTCTGCATAAGTTGCTCTGTTTGTCATGCATAACCTTTGTCTATGTGGTGGCATGACACTTTTGTTTGAATAGCTACCTCGTCCAGTAAACACATTGATGAATTCAACCAGTGATTTACTGGGTTTTTGTCAACTAATTGAGCCTAAATTGTCTACACAATCCTTGGGTAATGACCTGTAATACTCTGATATCCACATTTTCTATGATGCAGTTAAAGCAGCCCCTGACACATAAAACTGATTCCAGTTTCTTTAGTTTCATTCACTTTGATCCCTTACAGGTTACTTACATTAAAGTAACATTAACATACGGGAAAGTCAACAAAATAGTACAAATGTCTTGGTGTGCTAGAAGATGCACATTGAATCAGTATATTAAATCTGACTTCTAGATAATGACAAGTCAATCTGAACGAGGAGAGCATACCTAAGCCAATTAGTCTTTGTAATGCACCTGCCATTTTAAGAGTCTCGTGTAAGTTACATTGAGAGTACTGCAAAGCTAGGATGTCTTAACTATGTGGATGTCACTTTGGTGTTTTGCTAAACATTTCGATCTCCTGTTGATACGTGGAATTATCTGTCATATTGTGGATAGGGGGAGTGTTTATAGGTTCTTTGAAAATTAGTGGCCAAAAACTGGATTCAATCAGTGAGGAAACAAGAAACTGTAGCTTCCTATGTTTTATGATGCACTATTGACTTTTTATACTAACATTTCTAAGATAACATCATCATTGTCTACTCCGTTTAAGGAAGAAAATATTATCGTATTTGCATTTTAGAAGCATTGGAAGTCATTATGGTGTTTCTTACACTCGTCGTGACATGCATAAACACCTTTTCTGACTGCATTTGCATTGATACATTGAGGTACATTGCGACAGTGGGATTAATGTGGAAATTTCCCTAGGTCCAAACGCCCCAAAGCAGACTTGGAAGAAAGTAGGGGAAATTGATTGAGAGAAGGGTCACTTGCTAATCCTTCCTCAGGATCTATGAAAGCTCTTGGTGACCCTGAATATGGTGCAAACGCTATAGTATGTATTCGGCCTATAGTCAAAATACGTCATGTCTTAGAAAACTTCGGAAAAGCCTTTTAATTTCTCCCTTACAGAAAATGTCCCTAGATATAACTGGCTTTATTCAAGAGGCTGATAAGTGTATCAGTATGTGCTAGACGTTATTGATTATTTCATCAAGTGGACTGAAACTTATTCATTGGTTCATACATAGTACAGTTCATAATTGATGTGTTTGTGTTGACCAGTAGAGAGTAAGATTCAGAACACCTGAAGAAATCTTCATGGATTAAGGAACCAGTTTCAACGTGAAGCTGCTCATGGAGTTGTGCAGAATTTTGAGTGTGGTGAAAACGTGCACTTAACCATATTGATGATATGATAGAATGAGTTATTCATACTGTAAAGTGTGTGTTGCAAAGTTATGAATCATAAACAAACTGATTAAGATAATCAACTTCTATATTATGATGATAACATTCAAATAATTAAATCCAAGTTTACTGATGTTTGAATGAGACATAAAGCTACTAGTGGATATGATGTTTGACCCACTTCCCAGTGTAGATTGCTACAGTATCCACGAGAATATATGAAATGTCTATGGTCAGCATTGACTGGTGTGTATGCGTTTGCATGTCAACATATGGGTAAAGCTGTCATACAATAGAAAAAAATGTTGCAACAAAACAATGAAGGACTATGAGTTGAATTCCTTAGGGTTGGTATGGCATGGTATGCGTGTTTAATAGGAAAGCAACTCAGTTATGGATGGACTGGTCATTTTCTCTTTCTGAGACAGTTCAGTACATAAACTATGAGATATAGTAATCACAAGGTATACAAAAGTATGTCGAGCATCTCGGTATTGTTTAACCCAGTAATCAGAAGTGGAGGAGATTGATAGATCAGAGAATAGCAAAAACACTGCTTTGTAGTCTTAACTCAATAGATGAGGAGGTGATGCTAAGAGTAGATATCTAACTGTCTGTGAGTTGTGAGATGAGGAAACACCACTGTACATTGGTTAGTCAAGATGCTGAATTTTACCTCATAATCATCATAGATGGAATTACCTGCTTTACCAGCAGTTAGAATGGTTGATTGGTTACTAAATCAGTGATTGAAAAGATGTGTATTTCCTTGATGTCCAGCTTATGAATGAGTGGCTCACAGGATATCTATGTGAAATCACCTGATAATTGCTCGATTATAATACAGTCAAGTCAATTGGGTGGTTAACTGATTATCAACTTAAAGTGTATTGCAAGATCCTTACTTTCTAATCTAGTAAGCAATGTCGGACATTCGCGTGATCTCTCAATCTTTATAGTCAGAAGTAGCTTCATTTCTGTGGACAAATAACGTTATTGGCTTAATGCACTGACAGAATGGTTATATAGTAAACCGCCTGAGAAAGATTTGTGCACGCAAATGCGATTTTATGTTGTGTCTATACCAAAGGCCATACCTCTATCTATGTAGAATCTATGTATGATTTTCAGATACACAGTAAATGGGGTTGTGCTTCAAAGCAACGAAGAGATACCTCACATCTGAAAAACTTTAGTGGAAAAATCCTAGATTTATATTTTTTACTTAAGTTATGAATATTTGTTTCTTTGTTTTAGAGCAAAGCTACAGTGGGCTATCTGTAGTGGACAACACGAATGTTATTCTGGGTTGTGTGTATTCTAGCAGAAAAGTTTAGCTAGACTCTGCATGTAAACACATATTTCATTATGCTAATGAAGAAAGAATTTGTTTAATCGGCTAACAGATGATGACATGATGATGTGTAACAGCTATTGTGACAAAGCCAGATAAACCTATCTGGGTCTTCTGACAGTGAGCCGTATACTGCAGATACATACAATAACGTAATATTATATATGATGCGCATACTTGTATAAATGTGTGTGTAGATGTAGATATGTGTTAACATATTATGAGCCATGTATAAATTCTCTCATCATATTTTGCATTACATACCTCTATAAGAATACACAGGAAGCATTACTATTAGGCAATAAAGAAACAATTTGGCAAAATATTGAGATATTAATATATGAAGTAAAACTGTGAATACTAACTTATACCACATCAAAGGAAAATGTGCTTTGTGTCTGATATTTTCACTAGTGTTGGTGAAACAATGTATATTTTTTTTTAATTGAAACTTTTAGAAGTTTACAGATTTTTCTCTTGTGAAATAAGAACATACTGTTACTTCGTACTTTCATTAATTATACTGAAAAATATGTTCTACTTGGCATGATTTAAATATTGAGGTGAAGAAAGTGAAACTGCCAAATATAGTTTCTATGTCAGGCCAAGGGAAAGTGTGATGTACCCAACGTTTCTCTGG